CCTGCGAAAAAAGGCCCCCCTGCTGAAGGACTTGACCTCCTCTGCAGATCTATCCACTTCTGAAACAGAATGGTGTCTCCGACCTTCCTACTTGGAACAGACACTCTAGCCAGGCCCCCCCAGGGCCTCCTGTTATTTGCAACTATAGCTCTCCTTGTAAATTAAGAAACTGACAATAGACAAAAGAATGCAAAGCTCTTCATTGAAAATGACATACATGGTAATATTCTTGATTTGTCACATACTACATACTTTGAAAAACCGTATTATGAACTATAGAGATGTACAATGACAGAATGTAAATTTTTTTTTTTTGGGGGGGGGAGGTTTTTGTTATAGTGCGTGTGCGCTTGCCAGACAGACAGAGACATAGAGACAGAAAGCGAGAAATCACCCCTCGGGGGGATGGTCACACGGCAATCCCTTCTCCTCCATTCTCCTCTCGGCATCTTGGGCACACATGCACACGCGCCCGGCATGAGTTTCAAGCCACCGGGTCCAGGACGTGAACCGCAGTCGACTACATGGGAGTCCAGTGACATAGCCATTACGCTAACTGCTGGTTCTTGGAATGTAAATTTTTTTTTAAAAAACTGGCATTATTAATTCTCTAATGACCTAGATAAACAGGAATGGTCTCCAAAAACCTCTTAATCACAACCATGAGGGAACTAATACAAAACATTCGTTCTCCCAGGTACTTTCTGAACTTGCAAACTGAGGACAAGGCAGTGGACAATACTTCAAAGGGACACATTAACCACCTGAGGCCCCCTTATTTAGCTACCACTAATAAGTATTATTCTCTTTTTACTGTTTTTTATTTATTTATTTATTTATGGTTTTTGCCTTAGGGCATATGCACACACTGGAGAGACAGACAGAAGGTAAGAGGGAAAGTGAGAAATCACCTACCAGAGCAGATGGCCACACCACAACCCATTCTCCTGGGATTCTGGGCATGCACACACATGTGCCCAGTCTGAGTTTCAAACTACTGGTAGGATCTGAACTGCAGTCAGCCACATGGGAGTCCAGCAACATAACCGCTACACTATCCCTTTTACTGCTTTTAAAGCAGAGGGTACAGTGGTCAAGAACACTGGGTTCAGGAAATAGTCTGCTGGGTTTAAATAGTCACTTCCTAAGGTTTCTTTATTTTTTTCTTTCTTTATTTTAGTTTTTATTATAGGGTGCTTGTGCACCAGGGAGAGAGAACAATCACCACCCATGCCCCAGGGAGGGTAAGGATGGCCACAATACAAGCCCTTCTCCTCCATTCTCCTCTTGGGATTTTGGTCATGCACGCACACTTGCCCAGTGTGTTTCTCAAGCCCCTGGGTCCAGGACATGAACCATGCTGTCAGCCAATGTGGGATTTCCCTTAACCACCACAGCAGCCACCAGTTGGCCCGCTAAAGTTTCTTAAACTTCTTGAGCTCATTTTTTTCATTTTGTGAAACAAAGAAAGAGGAATACACCTCTAAAGGTTATTGAGAGGATTAAAAAGGATAATGCACATAATGCACCTGGTACATTCTCTGGTACCTAGAAAGCACTCAACAAATAGAAATACCTTTTTTGTTACCACTATTGTTCTTATTTTTTATTAACTGAAACATCGATGAGGAGCCCTTTTGCTGAACTCACTGACTGCTGTAATATTCCCAGTAGCTGATACTCACTCATATTCCTCTTCATCTAATGTTCCAGAGAACACTTCCCCTTCTAGAGCACTACATTAATTTAATTCAAGACCCCAGCCAACTTCACAGCTCTGCAGCCAAAGTGAAGAACTGCTCCTCCTTCGACAGGTCCTGTCTGGATCATGCAAGCATACCTGCTCAATCTCCTTCCTGACTTCCAACCAGCCTCCTGAATCCTGCTAATCGCCTCAAACCTTCCTACCCCACATCCTACCACTTTCCTTACTGCAAATAAGAGTTATCCAACCTCATGGCAAGTTTGCCACCTACTAACTCCTGGTATAAGGAGTGACGCTCCCTTACATACAGACAGCTATCAGAAGAAATGCAAATTATAACCACACTGCAATGTCACTTTCCACCCAGTAGAATGGTTATAATTTAAAGGGGGAAAAAAAAAGAGAGACAAGTAAGTGTTGGTAAGGATATGGAAAAATTGGATTTCACACTTTACTTGTAATGTAAAATGGTGCCACCACTTTTGGAAAAATTTGGCAATGACTCAAAAGTTAAAGAGTTACCATTATGATCCTATAATTCCACTCCTAGGTATATATTTAAGAGAAATGAAAACACAGACCCACGCAAAATCTGTACACAGATATCATTCAAAGCAGCACTACTCATAATAGCCAAAAGGTGGAAACAAGCCAAATGTTCATCACCTATAATAGACAAATAAAGTGTGCAATAAGTCCTGCTAGTCCAGGACCAGCAGATGGCGTTAACCATTATGTTGGACTCCCACATAGCCCACTGTGTTTCAAGTCCTGAACTCAGTGCCTTAAAACTCACGCCAGGAGCGTGCATATGTGCCCCAAAATCCCAAGAGGAGAATAGAGAAGAAGGGATTGCGGCATTGTCATTCCCTCTTGGGGGTTGATTTCTCACTTTCTGTCTGTGTCTCTCTGGCAAGTACATGTGCCCTATAGCAAAAATCTCTCTCCATTAAAAAAACAAAGTAATATCTATAAATGGAAATATTCAGCAATGAAAGGAATGAAGTACTAATACATGCTACAGCATGCACAAACCTTAAAAATTATGGTAAGTGAAAGAAGTCAGTCATAAAAGACCACATACTGTATGATTCCGATTACACAAAATTTCCAAAATAGGCAAATTTAAGATTGGTGGTTCCCAGGGTATAGAGATGGGAAGCAATAGGAGCAACTGTTAATGGGTGTGGGTTTATGACAGTGTTCATTAAAACTGACTAACTCTGAATATACTAAAAACACTCACTATATATATGAAATAAGTGAATTATATGGCATATAAATAACTCCATAAAACTGCTATGTAATAAATAAATGTTTGTCAAGTGAACATGACAAAACATCTAGAGAGAAGTGCTGAGTTCTCAAAACAAAATTAGCCAGCAAACTCATAAAAATGAGCTTATGCCCTGGAAACCATACTACAAATTTATTCTTAAAAGCCATTCAAGGGGTCAATAGGTGGCATACTGATTAAGGCACGGGACTTCCACATGGCCAACCACAGCTGAAGTCTGGGATCCGGTGGCTTGAAAATTACGCTGGACGGGGCTGGCAGGTGGCATGGTAGTTAAGATGCTGGACGCCCACATGGCTGACCGCAGTTCAAGTCCCTGACCTGACAGCTTTCTCTTTAGCTTTCTCTTTCTCTGTTTTTCCCTAGTCAAATCATAATAATAACAAATAAAATTAAGTAATTCTTAAAAAAAAAAAGAAAAAAGAAAGAAAGAAAATCACACTGGGTTTGTGTGCGTGCATGCCCAAGATCCCAGGAGAATGGAGAAGGGATTGCAGTGTGGCCATCCCCCCAAGGGGTGATTTCTCACTTTCCTTCCCTCCTCCATGAGCACAAACACCCTATGGCAAAAATCTCTAAAGAAAGAAAAAAAAAAGCCATTCAAACATCTGTTAGCTTTTCATGTGACTCCAACGTATTTTTATTATCCTACTTATAGACTGTATATACATATTTTTATAAATGTACCTTATATTGCTTTTTTTGTAGTGTAGAAGACCCCTAATACCATAGTCACCTGTACTACATAAGCTATGGCTAGTCATACCTATTTAGTTTGACTCAACTGTTTAGTCGACAAACATTATTCTATGCCTACTGTGTGTCAGGCACTGTCCCAGTGTCAAGGATGCAAAGATGATTGAGAGGCAATTCCTGTTCTCGAGGATCTCCCAGCAGGGTCAACTGACAGTTATAATGTGAAGAGTTATGAGAACATTCTGACATGGGCGGCTGCAATTGAAATGAGCCCCTAATAAATGTGTTTCAATGAAGATGATGATGTAAAGTAATTACAGGGCAGTGACCATTAACTCTGCAGTGACCCACCACTGAGGAGCGGCCTACCTGTTGACGTGTTCCTCCCAGTCCTCTGGCGGGGGAGGGGCATCTGCATCGGTCCTGGCGAAGATGACATGCCGTTCACATTCATTCATCACGCTTCGTGCTTTCTGATTATCATACAGTGGCACAGGGGTGGACGTGACTGTCTCCACATCTATGGGGACATCTGATTCACTGTGAACAGATAAGGAAATAGGACTAGACCACACATATTTCATACCACAGTTTAATGATCTCCTGACTGTAAAAAAAGGTCTTTTTACTAGGTCAGCTTTAAATTATACATAAGTACATTACATCAATAAGAAAGAAGAATCTGATTGCCAGAGGGCATGGGAGACAGAGACAGGGAAGAAAAGGAAAAAAGCACCCTTAGTGGGGGATGGTCATCCTACAATCCCTTCTCCATTTCTCTATCCTATCAGGATTTGGGACACACATGCCCAGCTTGTTTTTCGAGCCACCCAGAGTGGGATCTGGCTCTCTTAACAACCACTAGGCCACAGGGCCAGACCTGGTAAGAAAATTTTAATCCAAAGTCATCTTTCCCACTCTACCTTGACAAGCTGGTCAGAGGGACACATGCATGTGCTAGAAGAACACCAATGTATGAACATACACAGAAAAACAATAGTAGGGGGGACCAGCAGGTGGCATGATGGTTAAGGCACTGGACACTCCCACATGGCCAACCATGGTTCAAGTCCTGGACCTGGTGGCTTGCTTTCTCACTTTCCCTCTCTCTCACTCTGTCTCTGCTCAAATTAAAATGAATGAATGAATGAATACATAAATAAAATAAAATAAATAATTATTTAAAAGAAAAAAAAAAAACAATAGTGGGGGCCAGGAGGTAGTGTAGTAGTTAAGGCACTAGATCCCACATGGCTGCTGTGCAGTTCAAGTCCTGGGGCCCAGGGGCTTAAAATCATGCTGGGCATGTGTGCATGTGTGCTCAAAATCTCAGGAGAAGAATGGAGAAGGGACTGCTGTGTGGCCATCCCTCCTGGAGGGGTGACTTCTCACTTTCCCTTTCTCTGTCTCTCTCTGGTAAGCATACGTGCCCTCTAGCAAAAACTACCCCCCCCAAAGAAAAGAACAATAGCTGTTTTCTAGAAAAGATGAATATATTCCATAAACAAAGAGATGATGGCCTACACATGCTGTCCAATACAGTAGCTATAAGCCATGTGGCTACTTATATAAATTTAAGTCAATAAAATTAACAGAGGGCCAACTGCACGGTGCAGTGGCAAAGCACTGCTCAAGAACCTAGATCCCTGGGACTGGCAGGTGCCGTGGTGGTTATGGGCACTGGACGCTCACATGGCCAACTGTGGTTTGAGTCCTGGACATGGTGGCTTGCTCTCTCTCTCTCTCTCTCACTCACTCATTCTATCCCTCTATGGTCAAATTAAAACAAGTAAATAAATGGATAAAGTTAAATAAAGTAATTTTTTAAGAAAAAAAAAAAAGAACCTAAATCCTCACATGGTAATTGCCATTTGAATGCCCTGGTCATCCCTGCCTATTCAGCCTGAAAAAGGATGAACACATGTTCAAGTGTCCAGGAGCCAAAGGGCTAGACTCTATCTTCCGCTCTCTCTCTCTCATATTTGAGCATGCTATCATGAATAAAGAGAAAAATAAAATTTTAAATTTGGTGTATCAGTCATACTAGGGCACATTTCAAGTGCTCTGTAGACACATGTGGCTCGCACTCCAATATTGGATCTTACAGGGATACACCATGTCTGCTATTGTAGAGTTGTGTTGGACTGCACTAGTCTAGAGTTTTCAATTATTCATATTAACTTTCCCTTTATTAGCAAGTCAAGTGGTAGTTAATTATATGCTCGTAAAAGCCTTTGATTGTCTCACCTAGAATGCAGATGCCTTAGCTATTTAATTCACTTTGTACAGAACTAAGAGAAGAAACAAATATCTGAAGGATCGTTCATATTTCAAAATGTTAATGAGGGGCCAGCAGAAGGCATGGTTACACTGCTAGACTCCCACATGGCCAACTGTAGTTCGAGTCCTAGACCTGGGGGCTTGAAAATTATGCCCAGGTGTGTGTGCATGTACGCTCAAGCTCCTGGGAGGAGACTGGAGAAGGGATTTTGGCAAGGCCATCCCTCATGGGAGGTGATTTCTCACTTTCTCTCACTGTCTCTGTCTTTCTCTCCCTCTCAGTAAGCACAGAGACCCTAAGGCAAAAACCTCCTAAAAGAAAGCTAATGAAATCTTAGTCTCAAAAGGATCCTTCCCCACCTCGTCACGCCAATACTTCAGCAATCAAACTGGTCTACTGGCTGTCTACCAAACATCACGTTAACTTTACATCGATGATCTCACTGCGATCATTTCCAATGACTAGAATAATTACATCGTTAGGGAATGAAGTAAAATAATGTGCAGCTAGATTTGGTGGTGGGCATAAGTGCTGATTATCTTGTCTGGGTCAGACACTGGGTCATTCACTTGGACATATATGCCTAAACGAGAACTCTTGATTTCACTAGCTCAAGTCTATCCTCCCAGTCTTCCCCAACTCATGGCACCACCCAGCTACTCAAGCCAGAAAATCAAGAGTCATCCTAATTTTATCTTAAGGCACTGGACTACCACACAGTCAACCACAGTTCAAGTCCCAGACCTGTTGTCTTGAAACTCACACTGGACACCATGTGCCCAAAACCCAGAGAGGAAATGGAAGAGAATGGATTGTAACATGGCCACCCTCCCCGGGGGGTGGTTTCTCACTTTCTGTCTTTGTGCTTCCAGTGAGCACATATGTCTGACAGCAAAAATCTCTCTTTTTTTAAAGATTTATTTATTTATTTTATTCCCTTGTTATCATTATTATTTTTTGAAGAGATTTTCGCTATAGGGTGCGTGCACTCACCAGACCAACAGAGAGAGACATAGAGACAGAAAGCGAGAAATCACCCCCCAGGGGGGATGGTCACGCCGCAATCCCTTCTCCTCCATTCTCCTCTCGGGATCTTGGGCACCTACGCACCCGGTGTGAGTTTTAAGCCACTGGATCCGGGACGTGAACCGCGGTCGACTACATGGGAGTCCAGCGACATAGCCATTATGCTAACTGCTGGTTCCCATTATTTTTTTAATTTGACCAGACAGAGACAGAGAGAAAGGGAAAGTGAGAGAGCAAGCCGCCAGGTCCAGGACTTGAACTGCAGTTGGTCAAGTGGGGTGGGAATCCCTTTAATCACCCCACCACCTGCTGGCCCCAAAAATCTCTCTTTAGAGAAAAAAAGAAAAAAAAAAAGATCCACACATGGTACCTCTAACTCATTAAGGATCAATGGGAGAATCTTGAGAAACAAAATACAAGATTTCTATCCCCCAATAAATAAAAACTTGTACTTGGAAGAAAGACTAAACATTTGGTTGGATTAGAAAGAAACATAAACTCAGGGCTGGCAGGTAGCATGGTAGTTAAGGATGCTATACTCCCACGTGGCCGACCACAGCTTGAGTCCCGGACCTGGTGGTTTGCTTTCTTTCTCTCTCTTTCTCTTTCTCTGTCCCTCTCTGGTCAAATTAAAATAAGTAAATAAAGTTAAATAAAATAATCCTAAAAAAAAAAAAAAAAAATACAAAATATCTTCACTGACCACAGGGGAATCCAAAAGCTTTTAAAATTAAGGACATGATCTAATCATCAAAATAGAATATATTAACAAATCTTTATTTATTTTAAAGACTTATTCAATTTTATTCATTATTATTATTTTTAATTTACCAGCGAGAAACAGAAGAGAGGGGGAAAGTGAAAAAGCAAGCCACCATGTCCAGGACTTGAACCACAGTCAGCCATGTGGGAGTCCAGCACCTTAGCCATCAAGCCACCAGCTGGTCCAACAAATCTTTACATGTAAGAAATTAGGATGATGGGTCAGTCAGTAGCACCATGGTGAAGATGGCTGACTATGGTTTGAGTCATGAACCTGGTGGCTTCAAAGACATGCCAGGCACATATGTGCAAGCCCAAAATCCTGAGAGGAGAATGGAGAAGAGACTGTGGTGTGGCTATTCCTGC